GGATAATCCCCTTATTAAGAAACAGGCAGCATATATTTGACTTTAGTTGTCATGACCCCTGACCAGCAGATCAGAAACTTTTGTTGTTTTGAATGTTGAAATAACAAAGAAGCCAGTTGCAAAATCAAGAAGTGTGTTAGTATCACAAACCACTCCTTTACCCTTCATAGTATTTCTCCTGAAAATAGATGCCAGAACACTTCTCAAGAATTCATGAATTCGGTTGTAGCACTTGCCAATCTAATTGAAACCAACAAGACAGGTGGGAAAAAGAAGCATAAGAAAAAAATGAAAGAGGCTGTACAAACACCCAAGATGCTTACTTACTAGGCAAATTACTGTATATACTCGAGTATAAGCCTAGTTTTTCAGCCCATTTTTTGTGCTGAAAAAATCCCCCTCGGCTTATACTCGAGTCAGATTCCCCTCTGAAAAAAAAATGGTGTGGAGTCGTGGCCTCCGGCGGCAGCGACTCCCAACAGCCCCAGCCGGGAAGGGAAAGGCAAAAAGCGCTTTGCCTTTCCCTTCCCGAGGCGGCGGGACTGGGGCCGCGCCGGCGGTAGTGACTCCTGACTCAGGGGGCCTCCGAGGGAGGGGAAGAGGGTGACTCCTGCCTCCCGCTGTCATCATCATCTTCTTCTTTTGGGTTAGTGAATCAATTAAACCTTTCATGATAGTGAGATCGTTTCCCAAATTAATTATTTTTATTTTTGAAATTTACCAGTAGCTGCTGCATTTCCCACCCTCGGCTTATACTCGAGTCAATAAGTTTTCCCAGTTTTTTGTGTAAAATTAGGTGCCTCGGCTTATATTCGGGTCGACTTATACTCGAGTATATACAGTATGTGCAAATCTACACACTTTTTGGTATTTTCTTTTAGTAATAGTCAGTCAGCTCTGAGAGTAGGTGTCTGTATTACTTCAGAATGTGGGTTTTCTATTTCTGGGATTGTTTGTTTTTCATAAATTTTCTGTCCAAAGAACACAAGGCAACTTGTTGGGAAACAACAACTGTAACACAACTGTATCACAACCAATTGTAACACAACTAACAGGAAACTCCAAGGATCCCAACTATGATTAGAGGTGACTTGGAGATATCGGTAAAAAATAGAATTGATCTCAGCAAGTAGCAGCATCTCTTCATCCCAGAAATGAAGCAGTTGAACCTGACCTGTATTTGGATAGGAAAAAAAAAATCAGAGAATTCCAGGGCTGTGGGCTAATAGAAAAATATTTTGGGAAATAGAAAAACATTTTGGAAGCAATCAATCGCAAATCACATCCATACGGTAGCCAAGAATGGTGCATGGGTAAATCAGTGAAACGAATAATAGTCACATTTCACTCTGTGTATTTATCTTCTTAAATTTATTAATATTGTCTTTCTAATTTAGTGGAGGGGGGGCAGTGACATTTGTGAAATCTTCAGCTTTAACCCCAAATAGCTTGCCTCGCCTTAGATTTTATGCATCTTGTCTAGGTATTTCCGGCTACTTCATCTGAAGAAGCGAAAGAATTGGGGACAGGCCAGGTATATATATGTCCTATCACCCTAGTCACTGAGCCTGTTGACTAAGACTGAAGAATTTTAACAATTTCCATTGAAGCTTTTAGGGGATGAAACAAAAAAATGTATATTTATGGCAATTACTGTATAACTTGAACATCCTAATAACGCATGCTTAAGTGTGTGTGTGTGTCTAACAGATAACAGATAACAGAAAATCAGACTTGGAAGGGACCTTGTAGGTCATCTAGTCCAACCCCCCGCCCAAGCGGGAGACACTACACCATTTCTGACAAATGGCAGTTCAATCTCTTCTTGAAAGTCTCAAGTGATGGCGCTGCCACAACTTCCGAAGGCAACTTCTGTTCCATGGGTTGATTGTTCTCACTGTCAGAAAATTCCTCCTTGTTTCCAGGTTAAATCTCTCCTTGTTCAGTTTCCATCCATTATTCCTTGTCTGGCCTTCAGGTGCCTTGGAGAATAGCTTGACCTCCTCCTCTGTGTGGTAGCACCTCAAATATGGGAACCCTACTATCCTGCCTCCCCTGGTCTTTCTCTTCACTAGACTAGCCAAGCCCAGTTCCTGCAACCTTTCGTTGTATGTTTTAGTCTCCAGTCCCCTAATCATCTTGGTTGCTCTTCTCTCCACTTTTTCTAGAGTTGAGAGTTCTTTTTCAATAGTGTGACCAAAACTGGATGCAGTCCTCTAGGTGTGGCCTTACTAAGGCTTTATAGAGTGGTATTAGTACTTCCCTTGATCTTGATTGTATCCCTCTGTTAATACAATTTAGTGTTAAATTCTGGGCATGGGTGCAAGGAATTGAGACGAGTCAGTGACTTAGTGAACTTCAACTCTTTATTAAGGATAAGAAACAGAGAGCAAAACTCTTGGACAGCAGTAGCCCTTTCATAGAGCTAGCTACTGACCTGTTAACCAATGACCTGTGTTCATATGCTTAACTCTTGCCCAATGAAAGATGTTAAACTAACAGCCAATCA